ACGCTACTAGGGGCTCCTGGCCGTACTACTAGGAGCAAGGACGCTACAGGGGCTCCTGGCCGTACTACTAGGAGCAAGGACGCGACTAGGGACTCCAGGCCGTACTACTAGGAGCAAGGACGCTACTAGGAGCAAGAAGCTAGTAGGAGCCATCCAGTTTTGGTGCAAAGCCTCTGAGCTGTTCAAAGGCGGGTCCAGTTTTCTCTGTGGCCGGTGGAACAGCTTGAATCGTCCAAGACTGTACCACCAATCAAGAGCCAACCAGGATCGAGCCAAGGAGCTGCCAAACGCGTGCTCTCACTGGGGTCATCCAACAAGCTCAGAGCTGAATGAAGAGCCTTTTGCGCAGCACAAGCATCATCCCTCAGTTGGACGAGGATGTGCGTTCAAAGACACGAACAAGTCCAAGTGGACTCTCCTCATTGTGGTCTAAAGACCTCAAATTCCACAAATCGTTGGGATTTGGTTTGCCCCAAACAGGACTCGCCTGAGGCCTACATGATCTGTCCATTCAGCATGTCCGCGTGGCACGATAGACTGGGTTCAGGCTCAGACTGTTCGTGTAGACAAAAGCAGATTTCTACAAATATGCTTGCCATCATTGAGTCCCACATCCATCCCACCCGAACTCAAGACATAGAACATTAAAAAAGATACCAAACAACAAGTGCATCGCTACTAGTAAATCTAGTAACAAGCACATTACTAATAGTAACAAATAGCTACTAGACCATCTCCGGCCCCTCAGCTCCGTCTCCTTGCAGCTTCGTGTCTCCGCCCACGTGCGCCGTGTCTGGTTGCCGTGTCCGCCGATCCGTTCTCGCAGGCGTTCCAGCACGGTATGCACCGCAGCCATCGTCTCGGGAGGACCACCTGAGAGCCAGAAGGACCACCCCATCGATTTGAGGAAAACTTGAACGACTGGGTTCTTCTACGGATTGCTTCAAAACACCTACGTGTGAGGTCACACTGGATTTCAATACCTGTGAGATCCGATGTGCACAATAATCAGTAACTGATTATTGTGCACGTCCGATCTCACAACTGATGTTCAGATAAGCATTCTGGCCTCTTTAGAGGAATCCAAAGGGCACAAAGTCAGGCTCCAGTGGAGACCCAAACAGAATCTTCACCATCAGAACATATTCAAGCTCCTAAGCTCCCTTAATTCTTATTTCAACGCGTGCAAAGACTCATCAAGTACACCCGGGAAGGTTAGCATGGAACCTGAATATGGACCTTTGGAAAATGATTTTCCTCTACAACCCAGTGGTTTTCAGGTTCCATGTTAATTTTTTAGGGTGTAATCATCAACAAAATGAATAATGATTCGGACCCTGGAATTGTTTCCTATATATGTGGTCCTCTCTGGGTTTTGTGCGTACAATGTCAAGAATCCCCCGACATCACTTCCACCCGCCATTTGCCACCAGCAAAATCACCACCCTTCAAATAAGTCATAATAAGTCCAAAGATCTCTCCAAGAGTGGTTCCAAGACGGGCAGGAGCACTTGCAGCCGTCGCCCATCTTCTTCACCGGGCTCGCCCTCCACGCGCATCTCCAGCAGCGCCCGCTGCGCCGCGCTCCGTGCCTCGGCGCTGGGCGCGCCCAGCTGAGCCGCCGCGCTGGGCGCCGCGCGAGGGCCGCAGCCGGAGAGGGCGTGGGCGGCGGCGCGGCGGACGGTGGGGTCCAGGTCGGTGAGAGCCAAGGCGATGGCATCAATGTGGGCATGGAGCTTCCCCAAGGACTGGATGGCCACCTGGGCCAGTTTGGCGTGCTTCAGAAGTGAGATGAACAAAAAAGACCACTACTACAAGTGTGACTACCATGTGCTCCGCTTCGGAGAGTGACTCTTAATGTGACTCCGAAGTTCTGACCCCATCACAAGCCCCTGAATAGACTCGACCGGTCACCCCCCAAGCCCGGCGCCTTTCGAAGTTCGGCCTCGTCGGAGCGCAGTGCCCCGCGCAGGGCCTCCGCCACGCGGAGCTCCGACGTTCGAACGTCGCCCAGGAGCTCGGCCGCGACGCGGCGCACGTGGGAGCTGATGCCATCGGGGTGAGGGTTGCAAAGCCACTCCAGGAGCTCAGGAACCTCACCCAGGTTCGCAAGTTTCAGCAACCAAAGAGGAGAACCGACAAGGCACCCAAACAGGAATCAATTCCAGGCTTTCAGGCTGGATCTTCTCAGCACAAGTTGCACCTTGGCCCTGGCGAAATGAGCCACGATGTATTGTGAAGTGGTCTTGAGATCGAAGCTAGCCGGCACTCATTGCTGATGATCAATTACGGCTGTTCACCCAATGGTCTCTTCGCCCCACTTCATACCCAACACGCCAACCCACCCGCTCCGCGGAAGCTTGGCCGCAGACTTCGCAGCCTCAAGAAGCCCATCTCCGCCAGGGCGCATGTTCCTCTTGCAGCTCCATCCCTTGAAGTGCTTCTGCACGGCTCAACCGTGCCGCCGACTCCTCCACCCAACGATCCTCGCGCCCGGCGCAGCGAGCGACCCACAGGGGCGCCGCCGTCGTCGTGCCTCCGGAGATTGGAGCGGCTCGGGGGCGTCCGGCTCGGTGAGGTCAAGACTCCAAGAATCCCCCCCCTGAACCATGGAGTGTGAAGAGATGTGTTGGAAAACCTTCACTATTGTTTCTTGATGATCAAATCAAAACGATTCAAAACCATCACCATGACGAAACGCTATGCCCGAGGTTTCAATGTGCTTCACTGCATTCCAGCGTCACATCTGCCGGAACAGTGGCCTTTTTGGTGCCGCGCTTCTCTTCGCGATCGGCGCTTCCTCGCTTCGGTCTTCTCCTTCTCCACTGCGCAAGGCTGTGCAATCTCCATCTCCGCCACCTGAACATGCTGTATAAATGTGCTAAATCATAGCCATCGGATGAATATATGCGACTTGATATGCCCAAACCATCGAGAACATGTGGATGCTGATAGAAGACGGAAACACACTGGGACCACCTAAGCTAGGGTAGAGAAAACCATAGACCATAGGCATGTACAAATTGTTGGTCATGGGGTTTGGGATTTGTTCTATCAAATATTTCATGCTATTACAATAAACGGCCAGGTACTCACTTGCGCATAACACGTTTCACTCACTTGCGCACTTTGACTTGCTTGCCCATTTCACACTTGATTCGGGTCCCTCACTTGTGCACTCATCTACCTGATTAATATCATCACCGTGGGGAGGCGAGGAACTTGCTGTCATCTTTGACCCTTTGGGTGTGGGGCGGGGAACTTACAATCATCACAGCGGGTGGGGTGACTTACAGCCACGATTCTTCACGGTGTAACCATATAATACAATGTTTATAGTTGAAAATGCTGAAAACCCGCCAACCAATAATGAGTAGTTTAAAACTAGACGACGAGTGGCCCGAAAGCATTTTTCCACGTAGGAAGTCAGAGTGCGAGTTATCCGGTAAGTGTGCAGTGAGAAGTGTGAAGTCGAGTGAGTTGAGGTAGTGTGTGGGTTTCTGTGCGTGTGTCTATGTCCGTGTGGAAATGAGTCTGCGTATGTGTGCTCGTGTAAGTTGAGGGAGTGTGTGGGTGTCTGTGTGTGATGCGGCCTCCCAAACCCCCCACCGGCGGCCAAGCGGTGACAGCCCAGCTCATCGTCGTGAGCATTTGGGCTGCTGGTAAGGGGACAATGGCAGCCAGCGTGCTGGCTTACCCACTTCAACTATGATGGTAGCCAGCGTGCTGGCTTTGCCATCTCAATAATGGCAGCCAGCGTGCTGGCTTACCCACTTCAACTATGATGGTAGCCAGCGTGCTGGCTCATACCCACTTCAACTATGATGGCAGCCAGCGTGCTGGCTTTGCCATCTGGACAATGGCAGCCAGCGTGCTGGCTTACCCACTTCAACTATGATGCTAGCCAGCGTGCTGGCTTTGCCATCTCAACAATTGCATCACCACATGCTGCACTGCAGACTGAACAATAACGTGTGAATCATCTGCCTCTGGTCATCCTGGTTGACGCTGAAGAAGTGGTCGTCAACAATGCCAAGGTTCCCTGGCATGATGGCTGGGCAAAGAGGAAGACCTACGAGCTAGTGGGCTGCAAAGTAGTAAATAGCGCATGCATAGCCATAAGAAGGCTCTGGTTCATGTGCGATAACTTCCAAGTATATTCGTCACTGCTGTTGAGTAGATATTTTGGTAGTTGGCTCAAGTTGTATGGAGACTTCTGCAATGTCACTGTCAGCACCGACAGGTCAGCCACGGAAAATACACAGTCTGTTGGCGCAGGCGCTCTGAGGGTGACATGTGCTTCGCTCTAGATGTAGTTAAGAACCACTATGCTGTTCATTTTCTAATCGCCTCTCCTACAGAAACATGCAACAAAGTAGCACGAGGTTAAAAACCGAGCTGGAATGAACACAGAAAATGCTGAGGCAGCCACGCCAGAAGCGTCTCGAAGCAGTGACCTGTCAGAGGAAAGGCATCCATCGATATATATCTTCCGGGCAAAAACGTTTACTTCACTCCAGGACACAGCTTTTCTAGGATGTAGTTAACCAACCACTATGCTTGTCATTGAGTAATTGACTGTCTCAGAGAAAAACGCGACAAAGTAGCGTGAGGTGACACACAGCAGGCACTGTAGATGTTTTAGCGCACTCTCGCTGTTCGGCTCGCGACAAGTCTTTGTACACAGCAAGGATAGCGTTGTGCTTCCGCAGAACGACGTCCACGCAGAATTTATCAGGAAGAAGTCACGGTATGAGACACACAGTTGGTTGGGTCTAGCGCGTCCGCCCGAAGCAGATCTGGATGGTGTAGGCATCTGTGAAGTTGCGGCTGTTGTTCCTCACCCAGTCGCGCCATCCACTGGACCACTGGACCACTCGCCAAAACTGCGATGTTTCTCCATGGGCAACCCAGTATCTGTTTGCTATGGACTGGTTTGGCCATCTTGCATGGATGAGCTCTGGCTGGTCGTCATGGTATGTCCTCCTTCCATAGGACCAACAGAGGCACACCTGTCTCTGGTCATCATGGGCGACGCTGAAGAAGTGATCCTCAACAATGCCAAGGTTCCCTGGCATGATGGCTGGGCAAAGAGGGAGACCTACGAGCTAGTGGGCTGTAAATTGGTAAATAGCACACGCGTAGCTATAAGAAGGCTCGGTTTGCCTTGTAAAGGTTTATGTGGGAAATGAATATTGCAAAAGCTTGTGGGGCGCGTTCAAACTTCTTGCAAGTATATTCTTCATTGCTGTTGAGTTGATATTGTGGTAGTTGGCCCAAGTTGTATGGAGACTTCTGCAATGTCACTGTGAGCACCGAAAGGTCAGCCACGGAAAATGCACAGTCGGTTGGCACGCTCTGAGGGTGACATGTGCTTCGCTTTAGATGTAGTTAAGAACCACTATGCTGCTCATTTTCCAATCGCCTCTCCTACAGAAACATGCAAGAAAGTAGCACGAGGTGACACATATATGTGTCACCTCGTGCTACTTTCTTGGGCGCACGTTTTCGTGTGCTCTGGCCGTTCAGCTCGCGACTAGCCCTTGTATAGGGCAGAGACTCCCCGACACTATGTCTATACTTGTCGTGCTTCCACACAGGATTTGTAAGGAAGAATTCATGGTATGAGACACGCAGTTGGTTACCATGTGAACATCTAGGTGACACCCTGCGTCGGGGAGACTCTCACTGCGTTGTCCGCTCCGGAGACACGGCGGCGACCATCTGGGCCAACTGGGCGGCGTCGAGGGTGCCATCTGGTGACACGTCCGCCAGTGGGATGCGGAGCGGGTGCTCATCTCCCAGCTCCCCAGATACTCCACGCCTCTCGCCCGCATTTCGCGCACTCGACACGCACGATCTCCGCAGAGGGTCGCGCGGGCACCCGGCACATCGCACTCTCGCCTGCATTTCGCGCACTCGACACGCACGATCTCCGCAGAGGGTTGC